ACAGCAATGGCTTCCTCCGTGGTGTCCTCCCATGTACTCCATTCTTGTTTAATGTTTTCCTTATTGTAGATGTGTCAACAAAAATGTTAGCATGTGCCATAGATTTCTGTAGGCCTTTAGCTGACACTCTGGGATTCTTCTTTACTTCATGCAGCATTCTGCGCTGTGCTCTTGCAGTCATTTTTACAGGACGACCACGCCTAGGGAGAGTAGCAACAGTGCTAAACTTTCTCCATTTGTAGACAGTCTGTCTTACCGTGGACACATGAACATCAAGGCTTTTGGAGATACTTTTGTAACCCTTTCCAGCTTCATGCAAGTCAACAATTCTTGATCGTAGGTCTTCTGAGAGCTCTTTTCTGCGAGGCATGGTTCACATCAGACAGTGCTTCTTGAAACCAGTAAACCCAAAACAGGTGTGTGTTTTTTTTAAGGGAAGAACAGCTGTCAGCAACACATCCAATATCATCACACTGATTGGAGTCAAGGTTGGCTCACTCCTGGCTCCAATTAGCTCTGGGAGAAGTCATTAAGCTAGGGCCTCACATACTTTTTCCTCCCTGCACTGTGAATGTTTATATGTTATGTGCAATTAAACCATGGCAATATCTAATGTTTGTGTAGTATTCTGTTCAGCAGACTGTGTTCTTCTATTGTTGTGACTTAGATGACGTTCAGAGCACATTTTATGCCCATTTCATGCAAAACTCCACGTAATCCCAAGGGGTTCACATACTTTTTCTTGCAGCTGTATTACGTAAAATACAAAGGCAAACATTTAGTAAAAGTATACATCCATTACTAAGGTTTAATATTTGCCATATTGCAAATATGCAATGCAAATATAAGGATCAAGTATAGGTAACATTGGTTACTAAGGTTTAATTTTTTTCAGGATCCAACAAATTTAACCACTTCCCTTCCAGAGGATTTAACACCCCCCTCCCTCCCATTTTGAAAAAAAAAAAATTTCTTCGTTTGTGTTCTAAAATATTGTAAATAAGTAATTTTTTCCCTTCACTGTTGTGCGCTAATGAGGCTGCAGTGATGGGGTCTGATAGATGGCATTGATGAGGCGGCACTGATGGGCATTGACAGGCATCACTGGTGGGCATTGACAGGCATCAGTGATGGGAACTGAAAGGCAGCATTCACATGGCACTGGTAGGTGGCACTGATGTGCACTGATTGATAGGAGGCACTGACTGGCACTGATAGGAGGCACTGACCAGGCCATTTTTTGCGATACAGCGCTGTGTTACTTTAACTGACAATTACGCAGTCATGCAACGCTGCACCCAAATGAAATTTATGTCCTTTTTTACCCACAAATGGAGCTTTTTTTGGTAGTATTTGATCACCTGTGCATTTTTTTTTTTTTTTTTTGCACTATAAACAAAATAAGACCGACAACTTTGTGCTATGAAAGATATCCAGTAAAAAAAATTAAAATCTAATTTTATCATATATTTAGGACAAAATGTATTCTACTACATGTATTTGCTAAAATAAATCCCAATACGTGTAAATGAATTGGTTTACATGAAAGTTATAGCATTTACAAATGGTGGAATATATACTGGAATTTTTATTTTCATTCGTTTTTATATTAGTAATGGCAGCGATCAGCAACTTATAGCGGGACTGCGGTGGGCATTCTGACACTGGGTGGGAGCTGCCTAACTGCCACTGACATCCCCAGTGTCACTAATACAGTGATCAGTTCTAATAAAAGGCACCAACACTGTACTAATGACACTGGGCAGGAAGGGGTTAAAATGCATGGCTATTACACAAACGTGTTGTTCCATTTGGCACATCCAAGGTTTAGCTAGCACTACAAACACTAGTGTTGAATTCAATTTCTGCAGTGGAAAATCAGCATGATGATACAGCTACAATTATGATAATATATTAAATGGTAAGCCCAGCCTCCACACTTCCACACAACCACTGTTAACAATTCCAGTCCTTTACTGCATCCTTAGTACATCCAGGGAAACAACACAAGTGTAGTACTTTTGACATAGTAGCACCAGCCCTTACAGTTGGCCTTACTTGGTTGGTACCTCTAAAACAGATTACAGAAAGGAAGATAACCTCTTTGCTGAATGCAATTTGCTTACCTGGGTGGTTTTATAGCATTGTTAGAGTACTATTGTCTCTATAGTGCCTCACATATGGTATAAGATAGACTTGCATGGGCATTGTACACCTTGAACTGACCATTTTGTTTATACGGTTGGAGCTGCCAAGTGCTGCATGCAAACAGCTCATTTAAGTCTATAGAGACTTAGCAGCTGTTGAGCTAATTCACAATGTACGAGCTCCAGTACCCTTGTTAATAAGGTCCTAAAAAGGAACTAAAGTTTAAAAAAAAATGCAAAGAGGCAGGCTATTTATTGCAGAAAAGATACAGTATGCATGGTGTCTTTCTGCAATATATTACACTTACCTGTCTGTTCACAATACCGTGTAGAGTGAACTCTGAGCTCTGCATGCACAGCTTATTTTACATTCTGCACACTGCCATCTGCAAAGAGTTGATGAGAAAATTAAGAAGTTCTTAGACCAATGCTCCATTTCCTCAGGAGAAACACTGGAAGTCAATGTTTAGAATAGCATTATTTAGATCAGTGTTTCTCAAACTTTTTTCAGTCAAGCACCCTTTAAAATTCGGCACAATCTTGAGGCACCTTTTAAAAGCCTGTACCATCTTGAGGAACCCTTTACAATTCTTTGCAATCTTGAGGAACTCTTTAAAATTCTGTACAATCTTGAGGCACACTTTAAAATTCTGTACAATCTTGAGGAACTCTTTAAAATCCTGTACAATCTTGAGACACTCTTTAAAATTCTGTGCAATCTTGAGGTACTCTTTAACTGCTTCCCAACCGCGCTATAGCCGAAAGACAGCTACAGCATGGTTGTCTAGTTCTGGGAGGGTGTCCGTGGCTGTCCTCCCAGAACACGCCCCTTGTGCGCCCCCAGCGGTGCCACAACGGTGCCACCTCAGCAGTGTTGCCTCATCAGTGCTACCTATCAGTGCCACGTCATCAGTGCCAATCAGTGCTGCCTATCAATGCCCATCAGTGCTGACCATCAGTGCAGCATCATCAACGCACATCAGTGAAGGAGAAAAATTGCCTGTTTTAAAAATTTTATAATAGAAACAAAGAAAACTTTTTTTTTCAAATTTTTTGCTCTTCTTTTATTTATAGTGCAAAAGATAAAACATCCAGTGATTAAATACCACCAAAAGAAAGCTCTATTTGTGTGAAAAATTTTTATAACAATTTCATATGAGTACAGTGTTGCATGACCGCGCAATTGTCATTCAAAGTGCAACAGCGCTGAAAGATGAAAATTGGCCTGGGCAGGAAGGGGGTAGAAGTGCCCAGTAGACAAGTGGTTAAAATTCTGTACAATCTTGAGGCACTCTTTAAAATGCTGTATGATATTGAGGGACCCTTTAAAATTATGCACAATCCTGAGGCACCCATTACAAAATGTTAAAAAATAAATGAATAGTTTTAGAGAACACAGCAACATCTGCACATGTAGGACACCTAATGTTAGAGATTATTTATTCTTCCAAAGCAAATACACTTTTGCACACAGGTACTGACTAGTATTCCATTGTTCCTCTTCTCTCTTAGTTTCTGTCAGTCATCTAGTGTGACCCCAGTGCTCACAGAGAGGGGCAGGGAAGGGGTAAGCAAGGATGCTATGCGGGTGCCCGATATCCTTCTTATCAACTGATGACATCATTGGTTGTTATGTCATGGTGCACAATAAAAACCTATGGCTTTGTAAAGTTAGTCTTGATCCACCTGCTGGCTTGCATACACGTTTTGAGCAATTTTTAGGCATTTTGTCAAGGCACTTCTGAAGAAACCTGAAGGCACACCAGAGTGCTTGTGCACCCTGGTTGAAAAAGGCTGATATAGATGATTAATTATTTTAGATTTCTTTAGTCCTTTTGTCCCTGGAGACTCAAAGCACTTTCATATTCTGTTGGTGCAGAGGGCGAAGCAGCCATCCTGGGCATTCTCAGTAGAGTAATAATACTTGGAGTATGGGATGAAAACCCACAGATGCACAGGAAGAACATACAAACTCCATACAGTGTCCTGACCAGGACTTGAACCAAGGACCCCAGAGCTGCAAGGCAGAAGTGCTAAGTACTAAGTCACTGTGTCAAAGTTTATAGATAAACTCTGTGCAGGGGCGGACTGACCATTTGGAAACTCGGCACTTTTATTTATTTTTAAAAATACTTTTCATATATTTTGTAATGAAAACATATTTTAACAGTATATACATATATATATATATATATATATATATATACACACATATATATATATATATATATATATATATATATATATATATATATATATTGAAATATATTGAATATTGCCAAAATTGTAGAATTTCAAATATATGTCAATATATTTGGGAAGAATATTTTTCAAATATATTTCAAATATATTTTTTTTCCATGTGGGCAGTGACACTAATACAGTGATCAGTACTAAAAAATATGCACTGACACTGTACTAATGACACTGGCTGGAAAGGGGTTTAAACTTCTAAGGTGATCAAGGGGTTAACTGTGTGCCTAGCTATGTGTAATGTTTACTGTGTGTGCTGTTTTCACTAGGTAATGTGTTGGATTCTATTCCTTCCTTTCAGGAAAAGAGAATCCAGCACATTGTCGCTGACAGGACACAGAGCTGAGTTCTGTCAGTCTCCTAGACAGGGGCGGACTGACAACCCATCCAATGCACGCCTGGCCCTTACGTGGGAGCTGAGATGTAAGGGACAGGTACAGTTGGATGGGCAGACAGCTCACTTACTTGGACACAAGGGGAATACTCATGTGAATGCTGACACAGGTCAGGGGCAGACTGACAACTCATGGGGCCCCCGGGCAATAGGGGATCATGAGGCCCCTGTGTCCTTGCCCAAACTAAAAAAAGCCTATTAAAAAGGTACCAGGGGCATCTCATGGGGCCCCCTACTGACCCCGGGCCCTCGGGCAGTGCCCGAGTTTCCAAATGGTCAGTCCGCCCCTGCTCCTATTGGATCAGTGGGTGCCTGTGCTCATCCATTTGCTGGCACCCATTGATCAGATTCTGCTGTGACCAATCACAGTAGAAGTGGCACACTGGCCACACTGGCCACACGCACGAGCACCAGCAACCAGGAAGTGGCAGCTCGGCTGCCCTGTGGTAGTATATCTGCTATGGAATGGTTGGCAAATGGATAAATACATTTACTTCCCTTATGTCAAAGTCACATATAATCCCTGGAATTCATAAAGCGTGTTGTAGGCACTCTTTAGGATTTTAAACTAGCTCAGTGAACTTCCTGATGACGTGATTCCGTGAAATGCAATGAGGCCTGGCCGCTGTTGTCATTTCCGGTCCTTTCTGTGTGTCATTTCTAGTGGGTTAGATTCTACGCATACCAGCTCGTATGCAGTGAGCGGCGGCGGTGCGCAGTGTTTATTATCTATCCCATGCTGTGTTTGAGTGCCGTGGGGCACACTGTCATGTGAGTGCACTTTCAACCATTACTTTTTTAAAATTTTAATAAACTGATTACACTATGGGAGCAATATTTCTTTAAAATTTTTTTGTATATTTATGATGGCATCCCATATATTATAAGAGTATACCAAAGAGGCTGTGTTGACTTCTGACCATTTTCCAATTTGATGACATCACCTTTGGGGATATATATTATGCTCACAATGGTGGGCATCTGGTAAGTTGTCAACCTTACCGCACGTGGTGGATGAATATTGGATTCTTTTATATCTTCACTAGTTTTGGGCACACGGCAGAGTAGAGTTATATTCATGAGATCCCTGCATGGACTATTTATTTTGAAGAGACACTTTATTTATATTGTGAGATTAGACACAGTATTTGTAATTATGCACTGTGGTTTTTACACGTATAAATAACACTGGGAATAGCACCCTTGATTTGTCATTTGACTCTTTAGAATTGTGTTGTGCCTCTGCAAGACAAAAATGCCAGCGTCTGCAGCAGATTCATGTACTTGTCAGAAAAAGGTACATAAATATATCGCATGGAGGCATGGGGGTGTGGGCACTGAGACTGGTGTCCATACTGCAGACACAGCCCCCTGGTTGCACAGACTCATAGCTGAAACCAGTTGCCAGGATACTGTCAGCCAGCAGTCCTAGCAACTAAGATGCTGGGATGTCACAGTGCCCTAGCAACCTGTGATGCTGTGTAGCAAACATTGAATAAAGTTGGGTAGCTGACAGTGTCCTAGTAACCAGTGACAAGTGATGAGGTTGGGATAGGGGCAGCACGCACTAAGATGTGTGCACACTGTGGCTCTACTCTGAGAAATCTACAGTATTACACCAACACAGACTTGCTCTTAATTACCTTCAATTTCCTTAACTTTAATTTGCTGTAGCCGCCAGCGCCCCATTTTGAAAGTGGCACAAGTAAGAAATACCTGAATCTGTCTTACATGGCGGAATCCTTAACAAAACTGTCACATAGTTTTACTGAATTAGGTGCAAACTGCTTTAAAGGGAAATTACCACCAGAAAAGTATTGGAGACACTTTATTATCGTTAATGTGTTCTTTGTGTGGTCATATTCAATAATTCTTTTGTGGTGTTCAAGAACAAGCCCTGTTTGAATCCATGAAGCTAATATTCAGCTGATAGCTTGCTCTTGGGGATTTAAATAAAGGCACCGAAACAGATAATTTTTCATTACTGGTCACTCAGTATTGGCAGCATCTAAAAATTAAATAATTTCTTCTGTGTTTCAGCAGCCTCACAATTTTGCCTTGTAGCTTCACATTAAGCTGAAGGAACAGTGTCTAATTGTAATCTTTGACATAAAAGTCTTCCACGGTGACCTCAAGGGGGTTTCAGGTTTGGTAGATCTGTGAAGTACTTTGCTTGCAATGTCAAGTTTGAGGAATCCTCAAAGAAGTGTTAATTACAGCAGTATCACTTTATGAAGAGTCATTTAGTGGCCCATCAAAGTGTGCCTTCAAAGGGCTTTTCATAGCAATGTTGCATTACTTAGGTCCTCTTTAGTAATTTGATACCAAGAATGACCCCATCCTGCAGACTGTCTGCTCATTCAACATCACAGGGAATGCCAATAAGACAGTTATAGGACGCCACAGTAGTAGCACCTTATGTCAGACATATGGGCTACAGTCACAGCCAGTTTATATTCAGAAGCCATAATACTAAATTAAATGTCTGTATGGAGAAAATACAAATGGTGATCACTGAATGAAATGTATATAAAGTAAAAAATCTTTTTTCTTTAGTTCTGTATACAATACAAAAGACTTATCATTATCAATATACAGGATTTACATAGCATAGGATTTACAGTTTGCACAACACTTTACAATATAAAAGGAGACAATAAAGTGACAATACAATTCAAGAGCCCAAGTGATACAAAAGGTTATTGCTGTCTGTATCTCGGCTAGTGAGATTCACCCTCTGTATGTGTCCTGGTGACTAGGGTTGGGCTTCATGTTCGAGTCAAACATATTTTTGACTCGAACATGGGACGTTCGTGTGTTCAGCGAACACACCAATGAGAAAGGGTGTTCAGCGGGCTTTTTGCCTGCAGGGTCCCACAGTGCACTGCACCCTGGTCACAGGTCAGGTGCAATGTGTTGGCCAATCACAGCACATGATGACATCACAAGAGGGCAGGGTGATTCCGCCTCCATGTGAAGTCATCACAGAATTTAAGAACTATCATTGCAGCGCAGCTGTCAGACGGCAGGAACCAGCATGGAGAGCGGAGCGTTTTTTTTTTTCTTTTTTGGGGGCGGCGGCAGAATCGTGATTAACACTTTTTTTGTGAATGGATAGCGGAACCATGTACCCCATACTCATTCACATGAGGGGGAGAGATCTGGGGGCCTCCTTGGTAAAGGAGGCTTCCAGATTCAAATAAGCCCCCCACCCACAGACTCCCACAACCAGCGGCCACTGTTGTAGGGAAGAGGCCCTTGTCCTCATCAACTGTCAGGGCAGGAGCCGAGGAACGGACAGGCAGGCCTAACAATGTAACGCACTGGCTGACGACAACCACCACCCACAGACCGAAGTCCCTCAGGGCGCGGAGTCTAAGTCCCAGGCTGCCCTTCACCAGGGCCCCTGATGGTGGGGATGGACTTGACGCAGCCAGGAACCAGGTCGCGGCCCCCCGAGACACCTCAGCTGCGGTAATGGCCGCCACCAATGGCATGTAGCTGGTGGAAGAGACAAAAGAGTAGTCAGACAGGCCGGGGTCAACAACAACAGGACAAAACAGTACAGGACAGCAGACGAGAATCTCAGGTCACGAGCCGGGTTCAGCAACAGAGGGTCAGATCAAAGGAGAATACAAAGAATAGTCCAGTCACAAGCCGAATCAGATACCAGGAGAGTCACGAGAGTCAGAACAGAGTAATAGCAACACAAAGACACAAGACACAAGTGCAAAGAGCATGTGCGGGCCACAGGCTTATATGTCATCAGCCACGCCCCTCTGGGGGTGGACCTCAGAGACCTGAAGGCATAAAAGGATTCCCACCATGCACAGCAGAATCCAAGATGGACGCCAGCACATGGAGTAACATAACCTCAGGGAAAAGGTAGGACCTTGACATCAACATGGGGACAAGGTGCTTTTGGGGGGAGCCCACCCTGCCCCAAAGCACTCCCCCACGTTGAGAGCATGTGGCTTGGTATGGTTCAGGAAGGTACCAAAATGTACCTATCGGAGAAAAAAAAGATAGAAAAAATTCTTGCCCTGACTTGCAACACCCTGACTTGCAGCACCTAGGAGAGGCTGACGTCTCAGTTTTTCTGGTGAGATCCTCAGAATGATGAGAATCCCAAATCTCACAGAAGATATGCCCAAACTGTGTTGGAGTGTCAGCTCATGAGATTCAGGGTACACAATGTTCCCCAGGATAGGAACATAGAGGAGAGTAGTGAAGTCATTCTCTGCAGTGCAGAAGACTGTGGTTAGGTGAGCATTTAAATGGTGCAGGGGCTCTGATTTATTGAGTTTACCTTGCATTCTCTAGCATTTCTTCTTTAAGTACAGAAGTCAGATGAAGACAACAATAAGGAAGGTTCAGAGCGTTCCAGCACACTGCACATGTTTCTATGCATAAAGTCAAAATGGCATGTATTAGCATGTATGTGCAGACAGTTTAGCGTGCATGTAAGCAGTGTGTGCATAGGTACATGAGTATACGCAACACTGGTATTGGAAGGCAAGTGGCCTATGTAAGCTAGAGTGTCAGATTGCTGAGTGGTCTTCAGCTTTGTTTCTGATTTACCTTCAGCCTGACTAGCTTTTCCCATGTACAGTTGCAAGAAAAAATATGTGAACCCATTGGGATTACGTGGAGTTTTGCATGAATTGGGCATAAAATGTGATCTGAACGTCATCTAAGTCACAACAATAGAAGAACACAGTCTGCTGAACATAATACTACACAAACATTAGATGTTGCCATGGTTAATTGCACATAACATGTAAACATTCACAGTGCAGGGAGGAAAAAGTATGTGAACCTTTGGACTTAATAACTGGTTGACCCTCCTTTGGCAGCAATAACCTCAACCAAACCTTTCCTGTAGTTGCAGATCAGACCTGCACAACGATCTGGAGTAATTTTGGACCACTCCTCTTCACAAAACTGTTTTAGTGTAGCAATATTCTTGGGATGTCTGGTGTGAATCGCTCTCTTAAGGTCATGCCACAGCATTTCAATCGGGTTGAGGTCAGGACTCTGACTGGGCCACTCCAGAAGGTGTATTCTGTGCTGTTGCAGCCATTGTTTTGTTGAATTACTTGTATGTTTTTGGGTCATTGTCCTGTTGCATCACCCATCCTCTGCGAGCTTCAGTTCGCGGACAGATGGTCGTACGTTTTCCTGCAAAATGTCTTGATAAACTCTGGAATTATTTTTCCCATCAATGACAACAATCTGTCCAGGCCCTGAGGCAGCAAAGCAGCCCCAAACCATGATGCTCCCTCCGCCATGTTTTACAGTGGGGATGAGGTTTTGATGTTGGTGTGCTGTGCCTTTTTTTCTCCACACATAGTGTTGTGTGTTCTTCCCAAACAACTCAATCTTGGTTTCATCTGTCCACAGTATATTTTGCCAGTAGTGCTGTGGAACATCAAGGTGCTCTTTTGCAAACTTCAAACGTGCTGCAATATTCTTTTTGGACAGCAATGGCTTCCTCTGT